GTCCGCACCTGGGGTTTTTTCTGTCCGCAGACTGACGCTCTATCCACTGAGTCAAATCGGTTTCGGCTGGAGGGTGTATTCTGTCCGGCATTTCAAATCCCTTGGTGAGAAGCTTTCCTCAAGCAGAAGAGAAGGGGCCAGTCTCTGGCTGAGGCACCTCACTCCCTAAGGATTGCAGCACCAAGGACTTGACAGGTGACAGAAAGCACCTGCATCCTGCGGTCCTGAGACGGTGAGGCAGCAACTGCTGGCCGAAGTGGATTCAGTCCTGCCTGGAGGGCAGGATAAACTTCAGGCTCCATCCTTTCTAAGTGTGAGAAGGCCCTACCACCAGCCCCGGGGGGAGTGGAGTTACATTTGGAACTTGGCCCAATATGTCCCTGCAGGACCCAGCCTGGGCTTGGGCAGGAAGCTGAGAGCCACAGTGGGAGAGGCCTGTGAGAGCTGGCCTCTGAGACAGGAGGGCTCCTTAGGCGGGGCCATCCCGGCTCATACTGGCCGGCCTCCTGGGCGCCATAGGTAGCGGGAAGTCAGAGCTGGAGTCCTGGAGCCTCGCTGTACGCTGCACTCCCTGGATGAAGTCCCCTCCCTCTCCTTCTGACTGGCCACTCTTGAGGCGACACTGAGGGCGTGGCACGTTCTCCTTGATGGCAGGGTCTCTCTCTTCCCTGCCTGCCCTTCTGATCCTGACCCCAGCATGGAGTCCGCTGCAGCACTTGGCGGGCCGTGGAGGCCCCTTTCTCCGCCCACGGGGCGCTCAGGACTTGGTGGGCCGTGTCCAGCTGAATCTCAGGTTCTCTCTCAGACCCTCCCCAGAGCGAACCGCCTACCTCCGGAGAGCTGTTCCTTTCCCAGCATTCCCTGGCCCTGACTGGGACACCCTCTCCCTGTCTGCCCAGGCTGAAAGCTCAGGGACTTTTCCATGTGGCAGGGCCTGAATTCAACAACCTCCCTCCATTTCATTCTCTCTTAAAAAAAAAAAAAGAGAGAAAGAAAAAAAAAAAATCCTGAGGTGAGAATTAACAAAATAATTTTTTTTAATGACCAGAAAGAAAATAAAAACCACTTTTCAAAATAATGTATGGCATTGCCGAAACCGGTTTGGCTCAGTGGATAGAGCGTCGGCCTGCGAACTGAAGGGTCCTGAGTTCGATTCTGGTCAAGGGCATGAACCTTGGTTGCAGGCACATCCCCAGTAGGGGGCGTGCAAGAGGCAGCTGGTCTGTGTTTCTCTCTCATCGATGTTTCTAACTCTATCTCCCTTCTTCTCTGTAAAAAATAATATATATATATATATATATATATATATATATATATATATATATATATTTAATATTGTATGGCATTGCCATCAACATAAAACTGGAAATTTACAGAGCCGCCTTCCAAGATCGGGCCCAGAAGAGGAGCCTTGTGCTCCATGAGCTTTACCAGGAGGACCAATGATGATTATTTAAGATGCAGAGAGAGAACAACTTGGTACAGGACTGTATTCCTGAATGCCACTTCCATGTGCATATTTCTGGGCAGCAAGATGATAAGCAAATAGCCTGGCCGGGTAGCTCAGTTGGTTAGAGCATGTCCCTATACACCAAGGTTATGGGTTCGATCCTAGTCAGGGCACATACAAGAATCAACCAATGACTCCATTAATAAGTGGAACAGCAAATCTCTGTCTCTCTCTTCTTTCTCTTTCTAAAATAAATAAATTAGAAAAAAGTTGATAAGCAAACACTAGAGAATCTCTCCATTTCTCTGGCTGAACCTTCACTTCATTGAACATATTAGATCTACCTTAATATTTTTTTAAATACTGATCTCCAACAAACATACTATTTCTGGAAATTAAGTTCTGCTCTTAAAAAAAAAAAAAGGAATAACAACAACAACAATAATAATAATAAGATGGCTTATGAGAAAAGATCTCTTCTTCAGGAAGCTAATAATAGGAATTACCAAATAAATCAACTTTTTGGCATGACAGAGACCAGTGACAGTGGTTGAACAAAATATGAATTTGGAATCTATATCCGTGGAGTCTTAATGTCTTTCAAATGACTTTCAAAATAATTTAAGTTAGAAAAAAAAAAAGAGAGAGAAATAAATGAAAAACATGTGTGGTAGTTGTTTTCTTTTAGCACATTTCCACTGTTGTTATTCAGAAGAATGATGGCTGTCATTTAGCTCTTTTAAAAATATCTGGGAAAAAATAATAAAAAAATAAAAAAAATCTGGCACCCCCCTCCTTTGGCTACACTTAGGATAGTCTCTTTAATTTAATGGTCTGAAGATTCTCTTTGCGGTATCTGTCTGTAGATTTCTCTTTTTATTCATCCTATTTAAAATGTGTTTGCAAAGACCAGCTTTGTTTTGTGATTAGGGATAATATTTGAAGATTATTTAAATCATAAGAGTGAATATTGTCAGAAAAACATAATCTAAGACTTGCAAAAAGGCCCTCTTGGTGTTGCCTAGCAGATCCTCTGAGGATTATCTGACCTATAAGGGTGCATTCTTTAATTGACCTTATATGGACTAGGTCATTTAACAGCTCTGCAGGTGTAGTTGTGAAGTTATAGGAAACTATAGCAATGCAAATTATTCCTATCTAGAGTAATGAAATGATTCATACTCACACCAATGCAAATGTTCAGTAGAAAACATAAATTTCTATAAGTCAAATTATCCCTTGAACTAATCTTAATGTCTTATGAGTTTCTTCATGAATTAATGGGCTCAGGGAAATTTTTGATGGAGAAGAAAAAAACATAAAGAAAAAAGTTCATAAGTTCATTAAGAATTCTACTTATTAAGTTATTATTCTATTCTATATATCAAAAGAAAATAAAAAATATTCTTTAGCAGTAAAAATAAACCAACATGAATATATACCCAAACCTATTGTTGAGTGATTAAATCAAGTTATAAAATACATACTTTATAATTCAATTTTTTTAAAGTATATATTTTATTGATTTTTTACAGAGAGGAAGAGAGAGGAATAGAGAGTTAGAAACATTGATGAGAGAGAATCATCCATCAGCTGCCTCCTGCACACCCCCCACTCAGGATGCCCCTGCAACCAAGGTACATGCCCCTGACCGGAATCGAACCTGGGACCCTTCAGTCCGCAAGCTGACGATCTATCCACTGAGCCAAACTGGTTCAGCTATAATTCAATTTTTAAAATCATGAAAACAAATAATAAATTGTTTAACAATTGTATTATAATATATAACTTCAAAAATATAATACAAACACTTAATAAATTTTAAACCCTGAAACATAAACACTAAAATGTTAATAGTAGTTATCTCCAGGTCTAAGGTAATGGTCATTTTTCATTTTCTTCCTTTTGTTTGCCTCTGACTTTTGCAATTAAAAAGAAAAAACAAATAAATATCTAAAAGAAGACATATTCAATGCATGTAATAGACAATTAATATCCAAAATGTATATAACAAACTACAAGTCAAAAAAAGGGCAAACAATATCTTATATTATTGAACACTTAACATTTTTTACTCACTGTGATGAGTGCTTTACATGTATTATCTTATTAATACTTCCAGTAACTCTCTGAAGTGTATACTACCTGGTATTTTCTTTCCATACCAGAAGAGGAAACAGAAACTCAGAGAAATGAGGTACCTTTCCCATCATCACTGAGCTATTAAAGGGTAGGTAGAGTTGGGATTAGAACACATAAGTCTGACTTCAGAACTAACTATACACTCTTGACAATATTACAAACAATCTTACCAAAAGAAGTTAGATTCTCCAGCAACTAGGGAAATACAAATGAAACAAAAAATAACGCTGCCACTTTCCATTTATGTGATAGACAAGAAAATTAGGATGTTTGAGATACATACACAATATCAAATATTGGTGGGAATGAAATGTGTAGATTGGTGCAATTACTTGGAAAAATAATTTAGGAATATCTAGTAAATTTAAATTTTCTTTTTTTTCCTACAATCTTCAAAGTTCAATATACATAAATCCTAGGAAAAAAATTATATATGAAAAAATGTCCAAGGATATTAGTTGCAGAATTATTTAAACAGTGAAAAATTGGAAATAAACAGTGTTCAATAGTAGATAATAAAGTGTGATATATTCAAATGCTTGTCAAAGGGAATAAGCGAGGCCTATTATCAAATGAGTGGATGTCAGAATCATGATGTTGAATTAAAATTTTGTCAGTGATACTGACCTCACACTACCATTAAGAAAATTAAACTTATACAAGAATAATTCTATATATTGTTCATTGATACAATTGTATGTAGCAAAAACTTAAAAATACATTGAATAAACTTCAGTTTAATCATAGTGATTAATTCAAGGGGGTTGGTAATATTCGAAGAACCACTTCAATTTTCTCTGTAATTATTTCATCCTTTAAAAAAAGATTTAAAAATTAAGTCAGGTCAGACTCAGTTTCACAAGTTGAGATAAATTATTTGCCAAACAGTTACACAGCTATGTCTAAAATAACTGTAGCTTAGATTTTATAACGTCTAGTGCAAAGAGCAATGCTAAATATTATCTGTAAATGCATGGCAGACAGTAAGGCAAGACTGTCTTCCTGCACAATCTGTCTACTCTTTATGCCATTTTCATCCCCAAATCCTTTACCCTGTGGAAAAGCATGTACACATGCTAAACGTTTGGCTGTGATCATATTGCACTGACATACATTTTCAAAGGCAAGAAAAATAACCAGGAAAATCAATAAAGTAATAAAGCAATGGCCTTGAGCCATAAAGATATAATCTTTGTAGAAGAAATCCTTTGCTTTCACTACTTAACTGAGTCAGTGGGTGGTGGCAGCTGAAAGTTTTCCAACCAACGGGAAGATCTTCAGTTTAGGGATGTCACACCCTCTCCCAGCTGCTTACAAACCCAGGAAGACTCAGGGTGTTCAGAGCTGATGTATTATATTTTTATGAAACCACATGTGCTCCATCATGAGTCTGGACAACTCTGAAAGGTCACTGAGCCATCTGTCTTCCAAGTACTTTCAGAAGGGCCCCCTTCACATCCTTGTTTCGGAGGCTGTAGATGATGGGGTTCAGGAAGGCAGAGACAACATTGTAGAACAGGGCTAGCTTCTTGTCCCGCTCTGGGTTGTACCAGGAGCCAGGCCTCATGTACATGATCATGGCTGGCCCATAGAACATGGTGACGACAGTGACATGGGAAGCACATGTAGAGAAGGACTTGAGCCTCCCCTGGGATGAACGGATTCTCAAGATGGAGATAAAGATGCGAACATAAGAGGCCAGGATGAGGGAGAGGGGGACCAACAGCAGGATGAAACCCAAGATGAAATCCAGCTGGTCATTGAGGGATGTGTCTGCACAGGCCAACTTCAGAACAGCAGGGACCTCACAGAAGAAGTGGTTAATCTTGTGGGGACCACAAAAAGGCAGGCGCATGGTGAAGACAGTGTAGATAAGGGCCCCAGTTATGCTGATGGACCCACAGACTGTGACCATCTTGATACAAACAGGACGGCTCATGAGTAGGGTGTAGTGAAGGGGGAAGCAAATGGCTACATATCTGTCATAGGCCATAATGGCATAGAGGACACACTCGGCAATGCCCAGGACCAGGAAGATGAACATCTGGGCCACACAAGCTCCCCAAGAGATAGTCATCCTTGGACACACCAGATTAGCCAACATCTGGGGCATGGTGGTGGTTACATAGCTCATGTCCACCAAGGAGAGGATACTGAGAAAGAAATACATGGGCGTGTGGAGGTGTGAATCCAGGTAGATCAGGGTGATGATGAGTCCATTGCCCAGAAGGGTGGTGAGGTAGAGGAGGAGGAAGAAAGCGAACAGGGTCATCCTGACCTCTGAGTCACTGGAGAAGCCAAGGAGAATGAACTCGGATACTGAGCTGTTGTTCTTTTTGCCAAGGTTCTGCATGGTGATCTACTTGTTAAAGACAAACAGAACGTCCCTGTTCTGTCCTTGGCCTTGCGGGAGGGAGGACAGAGTTGATAGAAGTTGAATCACACACAGAGCATCTTGCACAGAAAGTTGCACACAAAAAAAGAGTTGGTTAAACCTTTGTTGAATTGGATGAAAAGGGAAAGAAAGTTAAGGTAGTCCTGGCACTGGGAAATAAGTCAGAAGCTCTGGATTCGGACTTAATAGAAGATAGGCTGTCTGACTGCCCATAGACCCTTCCCTGGAAACCACCCTCGTCCACAGAAGGCATCAGGTGGCCAAGTTTGTAGCAGGGGACCCAGCCAACCCCCAGCCACTCCGAATTCTGCTAAGGATGTACACTTGTCCCAAGCTGGAAGAAAATTCTCTGCTGAGAATTTAAAATGATGACACTGAAAGTCTGTCAGTGAGCTATAGGTGGGCTGAGATACTGACAATGCAAAGCTGGTGTGATGGTAATTCAAAATCACAGGGAAACTGAAGTTATAGAGAAGAAAAAGGGAGGTCTTGCATTGATGATAAAATAGCAGGCATTCTGGGAAGCAGAGAAGGAGACCTCACATAGCTGAGCAGCAGAGAGCGTGACTCTGCTTCCAGACTTGCTACCTCCAGCCTCTAAGGCCTGTCTGAACTTTGTTTCTTAAGCTTAGATGTCTGTGGGATTCTCTTCTGAGTCCTTACAATTACCACCCAGGACCACATTTTAAATTCAGCTCTTCCTGAGTGTCCCATGGTTGTCACTTACCCAGCTGTGTGACCTCAGGCAAGTCTCTTCACCTCCATTGGCTTGTCTCACCATCTGTTATTTAGAGGTAACACATCTATGGCACAGAGGAATGGCAAGGAGCATATGAAATACTGTAGGTCAGGACATTTTGCAACACACACACACACACACACACACACACACACACAGCAAGGAAAAGGGTTAGTATGGGGGCTGGTCTTGACTCTGCCCTGATTTTGCCGTGTGATCTTGGGTAACTCCATAGCTCTCTGTGAACTTCAAAGCCCCATGTTTAAGTGAGGTTGTTGGACTTGACCACTCCAAAGGACCCTTCTGGCTCTGCTATTCTTTGATAGCAGTAATGCCAGGCTGTAACCTATGACTGCATCAATGCCATGAGTACCAAGGGGAGCTGAGCAGTCAGCTGAACAGGATTGTGCTGGCAGGAGATGCCTTCTGGGAGCTGGAGATGAGCAACCAGAGCACAGGAGAGTGCATCAAGCATAGATTCAGGGGTCAATGCACCCGAGTCTTGAAGCCTTTTTACCTACTCCCAAGTCACTTAGCCTCTCAGAGTCTCATGTTTGCCATCTATAATACCTTCTCCATAGTAGAAAGTACATGAAATATACCTGGTTTATTGAAAGTGCCAAGTGAATGGTAGCAATTTAGGTCATAAGAAACTGAGTGGAAGGAAGAGTAGAGAGAGTGTGGAGGAGCTGTCATAGCATTTTCAAGTTTCTGAGGTTCTAGGAGACAGGGTTGAAAACATGATTGTGAGGACTGATTGCTGCAGGGTGTTGTGACAGTCTGAGGCTGTATGGGCAAAAGAAGATGGTCTGAGCTTTAGGAAACAATAATTGGATGGAAAAAAATGTCCCAGAGAAGCAATGTTTATCAAGGGAGGAGGAGAACTAGGGAAGCTCAGAGTCTTAGACATTGAGAAGACATTAAAGAAATAAGGATTGGTCAGCAGTGCAAATGGCAAACCCTGAATCCAGGATGACAGGGCTGCTCACACCCTCCTATCCACCAGTTCACAATCCAGACCTGGATTTTTTCAGTGGCCTCTTACTGCCCCCCTTCCTGGTGCACCCATCAGCAGGTACTGTTTCATCTCTCATGCCTCTTTAGGCTGGAATTTCAGGCCTTTCCCATCTGGTTCTAACCAATTTTCAAATCTGTGATGCATCAGAACCCCTGAAACTTCTGAGCCATGTTGTTAAGAGCACAACCACCAAAAGGATCCCAGTCTGGGCAGCTGGGGCGGCCTCCTCTCTGAGCCAAAGACCTCCCAAGCCACCTTTCTCAGTTCCGGCAGGTATGCCAGGCAGATCTCCACCACTCTTCCCTAAAATATTTATCTGCTTGAATGTCTCCATAATCCTTTCTTCTGCTTCACATCCCACCAACCTTCAAGGCTCAGCTCGGGGTTTCCTCCTCCTTACCCACCAGCCTGGTCTTGTAGATTTTGTGTTCTATTTTCTCTGCCAGGTTGTAGGCAGAGGCTGCCTCACTTAGATCTCTCCACAGATCTAACAGGGATGGACAGACCACTTTTGAAGTCCTGTTTCAGTGCTAATTTTCTCTGCTTCAACACCAAATTCTGCTCTGCCTTCTGACAAGCTAGTGCACGGCAGGACCAGGCCTAAATCCTGGGTCTCTGGCTGTGGGCTCTTAACCACTGCGCTCTGCCATCCTCTTAAAGGCACCCATGAAGAAACAATTACATCAAAACTTCACACCAGGAAACTGACATATTCATGTCCACTCTCCTTTCTCCATTAGCCATTGCGTCCCTGCTCCTTCCCTGCCTCTGCAGTTCTGGTAGAGAAGAAGGGGGCAGACTCCTCATCAGGGTGCACCAGAGGTGAGGGTCCTCTTGAGAAGGGTGTGTGCAAATTTGGGGAAGTGTGCTGGCAACCCCACTCCTGCTCAGTGAGGGTGGACGCACCCTTCTCTCCTCCCCCAGAGAGTGGGCAGAGTCTAGGGTGGGATCTTTTGTTCATTCTTAGGGATGCCCAGGAAAGGAAACTCTCCCGTCCCCTCCTTCAGTCTCACCTACAAATGACCAGCACCCTGCTCTTCTGCCTGAGTCACCTCCTTCACTCCTGTGGCAGCATCAGCCTGGTTTCTCTTGATCTGTGCTCGGTGGCAGAAAGCAGTTCACCCCGCTCCTTGGCACGGTGCCCTACCTGGGAGATGTGCGCCTCTCCTGTGTGTGGTGGGCGCAGCAGCCCTGGAAGGAGGGGCTCCCAGTGGGCAGACCCAGGGCCCTCTTTTATCAGAATGGGGTTAGAGAGTGGATTTCCAATCCTGAGAAGCCCTGAGGATTCCCTGTCCATGCTGGTAAATGCAGCACAGAGCCTCTGGGAAGATGAAAAACACAGCCAGGAAGTTAATGTCCCCAAGGCATTTCCGAAGTGGCCCCGAGAGCGAATGAGCTGGACATCCTTGTGAAGTTTCCGTTGGGGACTGAACTTTCTTCCCACGGAGACTTGGAGGAGGGAGGAGTCCTATGGCTGCGCTGCACGTTTCTGTGTGACAAAGTGATAATACTAAGGCGTGCTTTGTGTCCTCTCCTAGCACCTTCGTGTGCCTTTTATGTCCTCAAGCATTTTATTCAAGGCCGCACACCGACTAGAGGTACACTTATAGTTTGACCATAGATTATATATTGTAAATAGTGCCAATAGCTATCAATCTCCTCATAACTACCACTATTGAAATCTGTTATCCAAGGCCACACACCTCATGGTGATATAAATGCTCCCAAACCTATTACTGCAGCCTAACTACTTACTATTGAACATTTTCTCCTACCAGAGGCTATGCCAGGCAATTAATCCTCACAACAAGGTCAGCAAGCCATTTGCTAGATCAGGAGGCACAGAGAGTTTCAGAGAATTAAGTGGCTTGTTCACACCACATGGCAGATACGTTGTGTTGTCTGAACTTGAACCTAGGTCAGTCAGATTCCAAAGGGTTCTACTGCAGCGTCTCCATGGCCAAGGTGCAGTCCTGGCTTACAGGTGTGTATGGTCAGGCTGGAGGGCATCCATAAGGCTGGTGTAGGAGCCAGGTGGTCAAAGGCCAGGACAGATGCACAGCCTTCCTCAGACCCACTTGGAGGACACTGTCTCCAACTAAGTACGCTCTTGGCTCCTGGAATCCCCAAGGCAGGAGACTGGCTCAGCCTCATTAACTGCTGCTGGACAGAGCTCACTGGGTAGGGCCTGCCTCATGGGTGGAAGGCACTGACCAGCTATGAGAGATGGTCCAGTCCAACAAGGTAGAATCTAACTTCTTTAGGGTGTTGTGACAAAGGTCAAGTTCAAGGCAAGGTGAAGTTCAGTTTAGGAACTGGGGGACTTCAGGCCAATGGGGAATACTTTTACCTTGGTAGAGGCCAGTGATGAGGAATCCAGATCAAGTGATAATCAAGGGCCAAAGAGTGTCTGTGTGCAGGATTACTGATGGGATGTGAGATGAACTGGTTAAGTCCTGGGAAGTGGAGGGGTCCTGAACACAGCAAGTCATCTTTTTTTTTTTTTTTTTTTTTTTTTTTAATATATTTTTTATTGATTTTTTACAGAGAGGAAGGGAGAGGAACAGAAAGCTAGAAACATCGATGAGAGAGAAACATCGTCCAGCTGCCTCCTGCACACCCACCACTGGGGATGTGCCCGCAACCAATGTACATGCCCATGACCGGAATCGAACCCGGGACCCCTGAGTCTGCAGGCAGACGCTCTATCCACTGAGGCAAACTGGTTTCGGCCACAGCAAGTCATTTTAGAGGACAGGTTCTGACGGCAAAGTCCAAAGAATTCCTATTAGTATAGCCGGAGCAAAAAGATGAGCAAGTCCTCAGCTGAGCAGGACTGGATGCTTCCCCAGAATGTGGGACTGTGCCTGCTTAGGGCCCCAGAAACATAGCACATTCACTCAGGCAACTCGGATTTTTAGGTCTAACAAGTATCAGCTGTGGTGGTCAGCCCCAACTGTGGGGAGACAGCAGGGCAGCCAAGGATGGGATTGGGTAGGATGATCTCATATCTTAATTTTCATGAAACAGCTCTGGTTTATTCCTGTTGTAGATCAATTAGCTCCTGTAATTATTTTAAATACTCCCCTTCACTCTCAAAATGTGTCAGAGTTTTGACATTCTGTGGTCTCTAGATATAGGGGAGTGGGCACAGGCAGAAGAGATTTCACAGGATGGTCATAGATCTTGCTGTATTTCCTCTCTTGACTATTTGTCTATTCTCTATATCGCTCCCCTACCCAGACTTAGGTTCTGAAACTCCCAAGACACAGAGCCAGGATTTGTTGTGCTATACAGAAAGAAAGAAAGAAGAAGAAGAAGAAAAAAAGAAGAAGAAGAGAAAAGCCAGTTTGGTGGTTGAATGCTTACTTTACCACTTTCTCCCTATATGACCTTGGGCAAGTCATTATCCCTCTCTGAGTCTAACTTTCATCCCATCACAACAGAGAACAATACTGTGAGGGTTAGGAAAGTTTATGTAAGGTGCTTAGCGCACATCCTGGTATCCAGAAGGGGCTCAGTCAACGGCAGGTCCTATACTGACAGCAAAAATTGAGCAGTCCTAAGGGTCAGCCTAGTTCTTCTCTGGGTAGGAGAGGGGGAGAAAACACTCAGCAGCAGAGGCAGGAACCCAAATGCCTGGATTGCAGTGGAGGGCTCCTGCCCAGGCCACACATGCCTCAAGCAAGTGAGAGGAAACAGTGGTGGTAATTTTCTCCCCCTCCCCCCCCCAAAAAAAGGAAGAACCTCTTGAACATGAAGCAGAGATTTCATGTTCAAGAGGGGATTGCACATCTATAATAATAAAAGTATAATATGCTAATTAGACTGGATGGCCGAACAGCAGAACACACATCCAGATGACCTTCCAGACAAAGCTGGGGCTTTGAGGGCCAAGCCCCATGCATGAATTTGGTGCACTGGGCCTCTAGTCCATAGATAAATACGCAGGTAAGGGAGTTTGTCTAACAGTGCTGTGCCAACCATTTAGCAGTTGTCTCATTCAATCCCAATCTGAGTTCAAATCCCAGTCTGTTCTCTATTAGAAATTCAAGCAAGTTATTTGACCTTCCTAACCTTCATTTTCTGAAACTGTAAAATTTGGATAATAATATGAACTTCACATTGTTCTGAGGATTAAATGAGGTGAAGTGTTTAAGCACATGACACCGAACATAGCATGTGCTCAAGAAATGGGAGAAATCACCGCCTTGGTCATCATCACCACCATCCTCTGAGGTCACACAGATGGGAAGTGGTCCAGATGGGGCTGGAACCCAGACCTGTGCCCTTTGAAGCTGTTTTCATTCCAGCAAGCTTTTCTGCCTCTCAACCTTGTTCCTCTTGGCCATGATATATATATAAATTGTGGTTGGATTCAATTTGTTAACATTTTGTTGAGAATTTTTGCATTTGTGTTCATGAGGGATATGGGTCTGCAATTTCCTTTTCTTGTACCTTTGGCTTTCATACCAGAGTGGTGCTGGCCTCCCAGAAAGAGTTGGGAACTATTCCCTCCTCCTAAATTTTCTAGGGGAGATAATGCAGATTTGCAAGCTTTTCTTCCTTAAGATTGCTATAATTGCCGGGACCGGTTTGGCTCAGTGGTAGAGTGTCGGCCTGCGGACTGAAAGGTCCCGGGTTCGATTCTGGGCATGTACCTTGGTTGCGGGCACATCCCCAGTGGGGGATGTGCAAGAGACAGCTGGTCGATGTTTCTCATTGACGTTTCTAACTCTCTGTCCCTCTCAATTCCTCTCTGTGTAAAATCAATAAAATATATATTTAAAAAAAAAAGATTGCTACAATTCACAACTTAATCCATCTAGGTGTGGACTTTTCTTTGTGAAAAGGTTCAACTCCAGATTCAACTTGAAAAAATAACTATATGACTAGTCAGGTTATCTATTTCTCTTCAAATAAGCTTTGATAATGTCTTTTAATGAATTTGATCGTTTTACCTAAGATATCTAATTTATTGAAGTAAAGTTATTTATAATATTCCCTTATTATCCTTCTAATTGGTTTCCTCACACACATGCACCGAATGATCAGTACTCACCTACTCACCTGCAGACCTCCAGCGTGCTCTCATTCTCTCTTTCTCTGCAGTGATTTTTTTCTAAGGCTTTGCTCTGTGCACTCTTATCATCTTGGCCTCTGTCAACATGAGCAACTATACAGAATACCACAGACTGGATGGTTTAAACAACATACATTTATTTCTTACAGTTCTAAAGACTGAAACCTGAGATCAGGGTGAAATGCTCATCATATAATATCATTGTTGTTGTTGTTTAAGGCAGAATGCTTAACTCATTAGGATTTTCCTGCTGAAAACAGAAAATCCAACTAACAGTGGTTAAGTATGCAGAAATTAATTTTCTCCACATCATAGGCAGTTGAGGTGAGCAATTACTTGTGCTAGTTCACAACTGGATAACATTAGTGAGGGAACCCCCATGATTCTCTGAGCCTGTCTCCTCATGGTCTACTTGAGATGGCTTGTCCAATTCCAGATACAACGCCTGCATTCCTGGTAAGAGAAAGAGGACTCAGGGGAAGAGGTTGTATCACAGTCACTCTATCCCTTTGTTAGGAAATTCAGTATTTTCAAAAAAGCTCTTCAGCTGAGTTCCCATTTTGTCTCCCAGAACAGGACCAGGTTCCAGGACTACCCCAGCTGAAAGGGATTCTGGGTAAGGGAGAAATGGAAGTGCCATTTGGGCTTGGACCATTCAACACTTGATTACCCCAAACAAGTGTTGTCAGGAAGAAAATGATTTTATCAGCAAGGAAGGGGGAAATGAATAGTCAACCAA